ATATATATATATATATATATATATATATAATCATATGTTGCCTGTTTAGGAATTAGAACTCATAGATTCTTTAAGGGAATATTTTGACATAATTATTAAAGATGAAAATGATAGACATTTTGAGAAGTCATTCCAATCTGTTGATTTCCATGCTTTCATGCTCTCTTCAAGTCTTGACCAGTAGAGGCCTAACCAGTAGGAGATGTTGAGTAGTTACAACTTACATGTAATTTCTTCTCAAATATAAATCTGTCAATGTCTCAAAGTAAGAAGGGGAAACTGGAGATACTCCATATGTTTTGTTCTCTGGTGCAGTCCAACTGATGTAAAATAAAACATAAAATGCATAGCTTTATTACTTACTCATTTGATCATATTTATGTCGGTGAATGGTGAGGCCAATCTTTTAACCATTTTTCTGTCAACAAATGATGACATTAGTAAACTGACTAATGTACCATGGAGCTAATTGTTTTATCTGTAAAAGACTTCAATTTTCAGTTAAGCTGTTCAGTTGGTGATTTCAAGTAGCTCCATGTCACTTATATTTGACTTGTATATTGGTTATTGTTTAAAAAGTAAATGAGATTACACTATTTAGTATCAAAATATCAACCATGCCAATTGTGAAGTTGTTCATTCTTGAACATGTTCTGTCCTGGATTCTATTCTGTTGATCTAATTTACAAATTTATGCAATTAAGTGGTCGATACAACCTTCGTTTACATTCCTTAACAGCTCTGTCTCTTGTCTTCCTTACTCTATGTATATTGCACAAATTGTATTTTATGCCATGGTTCCTGTATGAACTGAATAATTAAAAATGAACTCCTCACTTTGTCTTGCAATTATTTTTGTGTCTGGCATGACACTCTATAATTAACAAAATCAAGAACTTTTTTATGTGCTCTTCTTTTTACCTCTAATGATTTTATATTGTTTAAATCTGAAAATCTGTAGCATGCTTCTAGGGAAAACCATTATTGCTTTTATTTTATATGCAGATTTAGAAACATAAATATATTTTCAATCACTAAAGAGGGAAGTCTTTTTGATGTTAGATTAGATACTGATTGTAAAGTGAATCCAAGATTGTTCAAGTTCAGGAAGAACAGATTTGGAAAGCCTGAGGTAAGCCAAGTTATGGCCATTTCTGCATGAACATTTTTATTGATTTTTTTTTTGTGAGAACAGAATTCTAGTTATAGTGGACTATTGTTAAGTTGTTGACATAACTATAAATATCTCAAACAGGTAGAACATCAAAATGGTTGTCTCTGGGTTCCACCATCCTTGCAATTTAATATTTCACATACATCCTCCATGATTGCTTGTGGTGTCACAGTAGATGTGCCTGTAACTTCTGATCCCTTTCACTTACCATAGTTTGCTATTGGAACTTCCATATGTTGTGTTACTCTGTAGTGTCATAGATGACAAATTTGGATGTTGGTTTCTTCTGTATTACAGATTGGCATTGACATCGAAGAAAAACGAAGGAAACCGGTTAATAACATATTGTCTCTAGCTCACCGTTATTTTTCCCCTTACGAAGTTCAATATTTGGCTTCTTTTATGGACCCTGAGAGTCGGCAAAGTGAGTTTCTTAGACTGTGGACCCTTAAGGTAAGTAAGACTTCTG